CATGTTAAACTTATATTAAAGTTTTTCTTCATTACCCATTTAAGCCGTCTCCAGCCATTATTAGTCTCAAAGTGGGTTCCTCGTCATCGAATTTGAATACACTGGTGTTGTGATGTGTAAACAGTAGACGGACTACATACACTGGTGTTCTGAAGTTTAAACAGTAGACGGACTGCATACACTGGTGTTGTGATGTGTAAACAGTAGACGGACTGCATACACTGGTGTTGTGATGTGTAAACAGTAGACGGACTACATACACTGGTGTTGTGATGTGTAAACAGTAGACGGACTGCATGCACTGGTGTTGTGATGTGTAAACAGTAGGTGGACTACATACACTGATGTTGTGATGTGTAAACAGTAGACTGACTACATACACTGGTGTTGTGAAGTGTAAACAGTATACGGACTACATACACTGGTGTTGTGATGTGTAAACAGTAGACGGACTGCATGCACTGGTGTTGGGATGTGTAAACAGTAGACGGACTACATACACTGGTGTTGTGAAGTGTAAACAGTAGACGGACTACATACACTGGTGTTGTGATGTATAAACAGTAGACGGACCGCGTATACTGGTGTTGTGAAGTGTAAACACTAGACGGACTGCGTATACTGGTGTTGTGATGTGTAAACAGTAGACGGACTGCATACACTGGTGTTGTGATGTATAAACAGTAGGCGGACTACATACACTGGTGTTGTGATGTGTAAACAGTAGACGGACTACATACACTGGTGTTGTGATGTGTAAACAGTAGACGGACTACGTATACTGGTGTTGTGATGTGTAAACAGTAGGCGGGCTGCATACACTGGTGTTGTGATGTGTAAACAGTAGACGAACTACATACACTGGTGTTGTGATGTATAAACAGTATACGGACTGTATACACTGGTGTTGTGATGTGTAAACAGTAGACGGACTGCATGCACTGGTGTTGTGAAGTGTAAACAGTAGACGGACTGCATACACTGGTGTTGTGATGTATAAACAGTAGGCGGACTACATACACTGGTGTTGTGATGTGCAAACAGTAGACGGACTACATACACTGGTGTTGTGAACTGTAAACAGTAGACGGACTACATACACTGGTGTTGTGATGTGTAAACAGTAGACGGACTACATACACTGGTGTTGTGATGTATAAACAGTAGACGGACTGCATACACTGGTGTTGTGATGTGTAAACAGTAGACGGACTACATACACTGGTGTTGTGAGTTTAAACAGTAGACGGACTGCATACACTGGTGTTGTGATATGTAAACAGCAGACGGACTGCATACACTGGTGTTGTGATGTGTAAACAGTAGACGGACTGCATACACTGGTGTTGTGATGTGTAAACAGTAGATGGACTGCATACACCGGTGTCTAAAAATCCAACTTCTTACAGCTAGCTTGAGCTCACTCTTGTTTGGTATTAGAGTCTTTGATTATCGATTGCATGGTTTATTGGCACCTTACGATCAACTGGTTTTTAGCGGTGTGTAAGTTAAGAAATAATGTGTTTTTGCAAGTTGTTCGATACTGATTTGTTAGGAAATAGTGGCATAATTGTACAAGTTTTTCACTCATTTTATCGCAGTAAATAAAGAAAATTTCAGAGTGACACTTTAACATAGAATAGAGAATAACAAATGATATTGTAGGTGATATGTATTACAAACTTAGCATACAAAGTACTAAAAACGTTCCCTAATGGGTCAGCGGCAATTTTACTCTAATCATGCACTTAACAATCTCCTAGATGGTTCATTTCAAATTTAAATACGTTTTAGAGATATTGAATGAGCTGGCTAAACGATGTGGGGGTCTATGGTTCGATCTCGTGCCGGATCTCATTCTGACACACTTGATGGCACACTCTGAAAGATCAAACTGCAGTGATCACCGTGTTTATTCACGTGTACTATTTATTCCCTTTAAAATACAACAGTAACAAAACAAAATTCTATATTTCTGAAAAAATAAGAAATAATATTTATCAGCATTGATAGGAAACAGTGGCAAAAACATCAGGCAAAAAGAAAAGAAAAAAGTCTCTCTTGAAACCATAGCATTTGTATAGTAAATGGCTGATTACTAAGTTTGACTTACCCAGCAGCATTCACCTTATGAAATACATTAATAGAGCTACTCGGTCGTGCCATCTAGTGGTAATAATAAGAAATGTTTATTACACATGAAAGTTGTCCAAAGAAAGACTAGCATTGAAAATTACAAAATTTCAAGTTCCATTAGATATCACATAAAGCTTTCAACACATGATATTTTAAGTGAATGTGAGAACTTATCATCCTTTAATGAACAAAAATATTTTAAACCTTATTTCTCTGTTGACGTGTTTGAAACTTTGAGAAAATAACTAACTTTATTATTTTTCTATATTTTCGCATGTTATATGTTTCCAACCCAGTCAAATAAGCTAGGCTTAACTTTTATTATTAACAGGTGTTATAACATACTTAACTCTTCTTTATTTATTTCAATGACACTTAAATAAAGAATATTACCGGTGATATTTATAACAAGTTTAGCATACAAAACACTAAATGGTGTCCCCCAGTGGGCCAGCGGTAAGTTTACTGACTTGCGTGGAGGACATAGCATGGATAGTGTATTGTCTTGAAACATACAAATAGTTTTTAGCGCCATCTGTTTAATAAAGAATAAAGTACACACGAGCTCTTATGTTTTTCCAGGAACAAACAATTTATTTATATTAAAGGGAAAATAAATGTATTAAAGCGATTGTCTTATGACAAATCATAAACATATTTATATACCAGAACGTTATCATATTACATATATATATTATAGTTATACGACTCCAACCACTGGAATCATGTTTGATTTATTAATTGCCGAACTTGTCCGATACTGATTTTGTTAGAAGATATAGTGGCATGATTGCACAAGTTGCCCACTCATATTATCTCAGTAAATAAAGGGTAAATTTCAGAGGGACACTTTAGCATATGGTAGAGGGAAAACAGTCAACAATAAAACAGAATTTTACTCGTCTGCACTCTTTTATATACAAGTTTTATTTAGACTTGCTAATCTTCAAGCTTTGGATAATTTTGAAATTACCATTAACTTTATACGCAATATAGAATTGTTGACCAGGAAACCTACGACGTAACAATGAATATGTGCAGTCGATCGCATGATTTATTGGTACCTTACGATCAAGTGATTTTTCACTTGAACGACATCTTATGCATACAATGTCCATAATTTTGAAATGCAAACAAAATAGAAAGTAACCTTATATATACTCTTAACTAAAAATATAAACCTGTGTAGTAACAATATGATATGTTAACCACACGATTACGCTTAAGTTTGTGTTTGTATTCTTACTACAACGTTGCATGATGGGCAACTGGATTCTATTTACCGCAGGGAATTGATCCCCGAATTTTAGAGTTGTAAGTCCGTAAACTTACTGCTGGCCCACTAGAGGACTCACAATTAGGTAGAAATAAAGATATAATCTGTTATATGATACGTAAACTTGGTATCAAAGCTTTGCGAACGATAAATAATTTGTCGTTTATCAATTTCGCTCAATTAAATATTAGGTTAAGTCTTAGACACAGTTACAGTATCATAAAGATATTGAAAATGAGTGCACGTTAGAGCACGCAACATTGTGTGATAAAATATGCTACGTACTGGTAATGTGCTGAAAAGAAAGTATAAAAATGCAATATAGGCTAACTCGGAGGTAGGCCAGGTTTCTCTACTTACGTTAAAAATAGCATTTAATAACCTGATCTAAATAACTAAAACATTTTCCCCTGACAAGAATAACTCACACAGTGGACCGTGTGACTTCCACCAACTGCATCTGCGATGCAGTTCACCCGTTAAAACATATTTCAATGACTACATGCAATGCCACCTGTTGGAGTAATTATCGACACTATCTACACGGTTGAACCGTCAACAACACCTGAAGAGGGCAACAAAAAATATAACTACTCATAATGGCTCAAGACGAAAACAACAGAATTATTTCTATGACTTCCTACAATTCTTGATTTTAGCACTAGGTAAAAGAAGAAAATTCATACTTATTTAATGAATTTCATATTGGTACTTTTTAAAGTAAAGATTTTAAATAAAATCTAAAACTACACTTTATCTTTAGAATGAGTCCGACTATGTACTGCTAAATAATTTGTTATACTGCTTTTCGAGAAAGTTACGGATCGTTCTGAAATATTCGCTGATAAAAGCGTTAGTTTTTACCACAAAAAATAATGAAGAAACAGTCAAATTAAGTATTATTTCAAAGTTTTAAATTTTCATATCTACGTGTCTTTCATATTTTGTGACTTGAATTTGAAGAACGTTTTGTGAAAATCAAAGTTCACAACTGGGTCATATCCTATCATTCGAGTTCTTTTTTTATCGACCTACATCAAGTCTCATATCTTCTTGTACTGTATATTTCTTCGAGACTGCTGAAGGCATACAGGAAGTTAAATAAAAGTGAGACGTTTGAAAACGTGTTGGTAATAATAGACCATTGACCTACCTTTATCCCCTTATTTTTGTGATCTATGACCTAACTCATCTCGTAAAACGAGTGGAACGTTGCTCACTGTATTCGGCGACCCAAAAATATATTCGTGACGGGAAGTAAAGGTCTCCACTTCAGGGGATGATGTTGAGTAGTTGCTAATGATACAGATCATTCAGTCTCCAAATCCTGTTTCTTGCAGAAGTATTTTGTGCAACTAGGTGTTTCCTGTACAAGCGTCTTTTGCACCTAAGCTTTAAAGCTAAGCTGTAGTAGCCATGCCAAGAGTAAGTTACCAGTGTTTAGAATAGATAGATAAATAATCTGACAATTTTAAAATAAACGTTGATGGGTCTTTAGTTCAAATAACTTAGTAACTTTTTTTTACATAGCTTGTTTGGGACCTTTTGAAAGCCAACCGAGACATTAATGAACTATAAACATTGTGTTTCAAGCCGTCAAGGAAGGTAACGTCAGTAAAATTCATTTTCTTAGTATACGTATACAGCTACTTTTATATTAATATGTCATAAACTTTTAATGTAATAATGAGAGATGTGACTTATTAGACTGATCCTTCCTCATATTATGTAGAGATACCTGAAAAATCTGGACAGGCCTGACAAAGGTATACGTTAGTTGAATTTAGTGAGCTATCTTGTGATAGGACTGTTTGTACCACTTACGCTTGGATATGCTAATGAAGTAAACCTCTTGTGTCTCGAACTGTTATTTGGTTTATATCGGCGCAGAGCTTTGATTTCTCTCAAGTTTGTGAGAATCAAACAGAAGTATGCCACTTTCGTTATCCTAACAGATTTTTATAGGGTTTGCACTATAAAGCTAACCCAAAAATGTATTCTTGGAAGTTAAAACTAGGAAAAGTGGTAAATTTGTTTTGCATTTGCTTTAGGTTCACTCACTCATGTATGTTCACATTGATAACGGAGATGATTCTGCATCAGAAAGTGTAAATGAAGCTTTCTATGTTTTTTTTTATTTTTTTTGTGTGTGTATGTGTAGATAGTGCTCGTGGTTGGCATCTACTCGTGTCTCATTATAGCAGCGGATGTCGTCAATACCGTTGGAAAGCGATCCATACAGAAACGAGGAGCTAGCAGGAGTTTATCTGGGCCCGCTGGCGCATGGTGGAAAGAATGGTACCAGCAATACATTCAGGGCGTTACTCTACCTTCAGTAGTACCGAAATCTCCTGCCCCAAGACCATTATTTCAACAACCCATTCCACCTCCTTCAAGACCATCATTTCAGCGTCCCACCACATCTCCTCCAAGAGTACCCGTTCTTACCCCACCTTTATCAATTCAACGTCCCATCCACCCTACTCTAAGACCAAATATGCAACGTCCGATCCCACCTCTTTCAAGACCACCGATTCAGAGCCCCACCCTACCACCTCCACGACAACCATTTCAGCGTCCCACACCATCTCCTTCAAAACCACCAGTTCAACATCCATCCCCACCTCCAACGCTACCAACTCAGCGTCCTGTTCTATCTCCTTCAAGACCACCATCTCAAAGTCCCGTTTTGCCTACTCAAAAACAGTCAGAAGAAAGACCATTACCTTTCCCTCCTTCACCAAGTCCAGTTAAAAATGTTAAATCATATTCACTTGGGCCCCCTCAGTTTATAAAACGGCCTGACCGACCCTTACCAGACGGTGAGATGCCGCCATGTGCTGTATCTGGAGAAAATTTTTGTATTATTACTGATGATTACCCCGAGTAAGTTCCACACTTATGTTTTCACTCATCCTTTCATTTCTAGCATTTTCGTTGATTTTGTTTTCAGTCATAGACATTCAACATCTTAAAATTACACTCTGAGAAAAGAGACAAGCAACAAGTAACTGTAATTGTGGGGACATCGATAGAGAAGTGGATTTTTGTGAGCACAATAATTCAAAAACGTTTAATTTTAGGGATGTAAATTGTTATATAAATCGATTAAAGCGTTTTTATAAGAATTCCCGATACTTTAAAATTGACAAATAGAATGGGTTAATTTTAATATCTTTAAAGTCTTAGATATAATGGGTTAATTTTAATATCTTTAAAGTCTTAGATATAATGGGCAGTTTAGAGGTCAAAAATATAAAGGAGTTGTCTCGGGTCACAAGAATAAGAAATGATGGTAGATAACGACATATCAATTGTCACTAAATGTCCTTAGAAAAAGTTACTTCAAGATAAAATTACATTTAGTCTATTTATAATAAAATGTCACTTTAATAAACTTCTCAGCATTTACTTGAAAGTGATTTAACGACTAGTATAACATTCTAGATACAATCAGTGTCTCATCATATAGAAAAGTCAGTTTATTCAATCTTTGAATGCTAAACATCTTTCTATTCCTAAGGTTGGAATTTACATATACTTTATCACACAAGTATTTTATACGATATATTCGAACACGTAAGATGTTTTCATTCAATTGTATTGTGCCTTTAATAGCTAATCACTGACTACCATGAAAACTGGATTTTGTTTTCAATTTTTACAACTAGGTTTCAAATATACAATGAAACTGATATTTTTTTCTTATATTTAAACAAATCTTAACAATTACTGTAACACATGGCCTAGTACTATTTGTTAAAACCAACAAGTAGTATGGTAGCCTCTTTTTAGGAACTTAGATAGTACCAACTATATTTAAAAAGTTCATTAGGCTAAGCTCTCAATGAATCACATTTTCCGAGGTCATTAGGCTTAGCTCCCAGTGTTTCAGAATTTTATTCATTTCTACTCTCAGAAATTGAGTTAAATGTTTCATTAGGTTTAATTGATTAAATCTGTGTATTCGAACTCACCAGGTTTAGCGCTCAAAAAGTGGTGTTTTGGGGTTTACTAAGCAAAATAAGCTCTGAGTGATTGGCGTTTTCATAATTTATTAGGCTTATCTCCAACTGAGAATGAATTCAAAATTATTTTATATAGTTTTTTTTTATGCTACTTCAATGTTATTTTAATATTACTACTAGTTGTTATCAAACATACTGTTGGCGTGATCGTGTTTTGTAGTCACTATGAGAAAAACTTTGATACTGGATAGGTGAAGTGAAGAAAAGTGTCATTGGCCACAATTCAGTTCTTCACATTATATAGTCAGCTTATCTCTCTTTGATTAACTTGTGTTTAGGGTTACTGATGAGGAGTGGAATTCTCGGTAACTAGTATAATCCAATAACACACGTTGATCAAAGTGCAGATTGAACTGGACCTTTCTTGGACTTCGAAATTAAATAATTTTCGGAATACTAAAGTTATTTATTATTTACTGGTTGTTAACGTTAAGTAGAGAGTTTTTCATTTAATTCAATTAAATGACAATTAATATAAGATACTTCTTTAACCGAATCAATGCAAGAAAATTTCTTTTATTTGCAGAGACTTGGTAAAGGATATAATAGATAACGATTTGGAAAAAGTTCGAACTCTTTATGAGGAACTTCAAACAGTCGGTGATCCAGAACTTTTCACAAACCACTTGTATGACAGTGCTGCCGCCAGGGGCACATACGCTTGTGAGACAGAAACTGGTTTTATGAGACCTGGATGGGCACATAATGAAGTGTCTGAGGAGTGGATGGTCATAATAAATACTGATATTTTCCCTCAAAAAATTCGTATAGAAACATGCAAGTAAGTTTTCATTCTTTATTTTGCAATACAAATTTTCTTTGTATTCAAGGTCACTCTTCTTAACCATTCAAAACTGTAGTTTGGTGTTTCAGTATATTACCAATAGGTAGAAAATTCGATAATCTGACTATGGCGCCATCTGTTAGAATAGAATATAGTAGACCTAAATAGCCACAATATATATATATATATATATACATATTTTAAATTATAATAAATAATTAAAAACAATGTTTTATATTTACACAATAAAAACTTTATTGAAGCCGTACGGCTTCCACTTTAAAATAGAAATATCGCTCTTCACGCACATGTTTCGACGTGATTTACGTCATCCTCAGGAGTAACAGTTTTATATCATTAAATATCAGAGAAACATCAGAAATAATGAAATATATAAAAAAAAACAAGTATTGAATAGAGACGAAGAACCAGCAAGTCAATACATTGATATATGGCGATATATGTTATAATTTTTTATTTAATTTTATTTTTTCCAATTACACCAAGGACAAGAGGAAAATATAAAATAGTCTTGTAAGTTACTCCTAATGATGACGTAAATCCCGTCGAAACATGTACGTGTAGAGTGATATTTGTATTTTAAAGTGGAAGCTGTACGGCTTCAATAAAGTTTTTATTGTGTAAATATAAAACATTGTTTGTAATTATTTATTATAATTAAAACAAAAATTTAAACACAAGTGCCGGTAGTGCATATTCTTCTAATCATTTTAGAAATTAAATTATATGTGAATATACAGTGTGTGTGTGTGTAAGTTTTAATTATTTGTGCTCATAAAAGTATGAAAATTCGACCTACTCGCTTTCATTCTAAAAAAGACCAATATGAAGCTAAGTAGCATGAATTTAAAAATAAATTAGATCATATGTTGTGCCTCAATAATAGGATTAATTAAAATATAACATCTTGATAATCATCGTGCTGTTAGTTAAAAAAAAAAGCGTATGAATAAGTGAGTTGTTTATGTCAATAGTTAATATGACCAACTTAACAATGTACAGTGAGTTTGTTGTTAAGCGCAAAGCTATGCAATGGTCTATCTGCGCTGTGCGTTATAAGCCTCCAGACTTGCCGCTGAGCCACTAGGTGACACAAAACGTACAAAAAGCCTCAATGTTCTTGTTGCTGTTACTTGTCACTTTCCTCCACAAAAACCTATAGAGTTTCTTAGCTTTAACTGCTCCCTTCGTAAAGATGTTCTTGTACTGTTACTTGTCACTTTCCTCCACAAAACATATAGATAGTTTCTTAGCTTTAACTGCTCCCTTCGTAAATTTGTACTTGTTGCTGTTACTTGTCACTTTCCTCAAAAACCTATAGAAAGCTCCTTAGCTTTAACTGCTCCCTTCGTAAAGATGTCCTTGTTGCTGTTACTTGTCACTTTCCTCCACAAAACATATAGAGAGTTTCTTAGCTTTAACTGATCCCTTTGTAAAAACATAAATATTTACAAGAGAAAAAAACTAAAATGAACGTGTATATTTAGGTTTGTATTGATAAGCTATGCGAATCTTATAGGAGTTAAAGACTGTTGTTCTAATGTGTTTTGCAAGCAGCCATCTGCTAACATAATCGGTTTTAATGTTGAAAATGATATTTAATATGTATATATATTACACTTAAGAAGATATTTTTGCAGTTTCATTTAAGTATAGATTTAGGATTAACCTAAATCTTCTAAACTGGCTGGACCTCATGAGGTATTATTCAAATTGCAGCTGGAAATATCGATTCAATGCATCCTAATCAGTAAAGGATTTAGTTTTCTTTTGACTTTAAGTGCTTCTAATCAATCAGATTATTGGCTTCGTCAATTTATAAGTTACGATTTATTCCTGATTTATATAACATAATAAATTGAACAGAGTTTGTTTGCTCATGCTCACAAAATAATTGTTAATATGCTTAGAGTATCCTTACACTGACTGAGTGATTTAACCAAAAGATAAATATGTGTTCAAACGAACTACTTTTCTGGTTGTTTTTTTAACACCTCGCTCTTTGACTTATCTTTGTGTGGCCCAGTAGTTAGTCTGTCGGACTGCGAATCTAAGGTTTCTTGGTTCGCATCCCGTTACCGCTAATAACAATCGTGCTCCGGACTTTGGAGCCGTGGGTGCGTTATAAAAGTAACGATCAAATCCCACTATTCGATCTGACAAGAATAGGTCAAGGATTGATGAGATAGGTGGTGTTAAGTAGTTGCCTTCCCTCTAGTCTATTACTTCAAAATTAGGGACAACTAGCGCAGATAGCCTTTGTGTCGCTTTCAACAAAAACAAAAGCACTTTTACCACTTCACTGTTTGGGTTGACTTTGTTTTGTTGCTTCATTTTCCATCGTCTCATTTGTACGTCTTTGGTTCAAGTAATGTCGCGATCGTTTTGTGCTTGAAATGTTATGTAATATTTTATAACCACAACACAGCACAATTCGAAGATCAATAAAGTATATCCATTAAGTTAATAGTTGCCCAAGCTAAAGGAATCGAGACTGGTACATATATGTATGTGTGTGTGTGTGTGTGTGTGCATAACAGCAAAGGTATCCCCGCTACGCGCGATATTTACTTCATTGGCTTAACGATGATAACAGAACGTAGGCAATGGGCTATTTGCGCTCTACCCACCGCGAGTATCGAAATCCGATGTTTAGCTCACATCCTT